TTAATTCAGGTTTAAAAATACATGCATGTCACTGTCAGTTATGGCACCTTGGTTTCGTCTCAAATACATACATGTACTTAAGTACACAAACTAAAATTTAATTTACAAATAATTAAGTACTTTTTGCCTTTTGTCAGTCTAGCCATCATTAAGTAGCCTATTAAGTACACGTAGTAAGTAGGCTGCTGGCTAACATAGCCGTCTGGCAGTCGTAGGGGGTTTCACGAAAAAAAATTAAAACGACTAATTTGACCAAAATATATGTCACTTGATAGAGCTAAAGGAGCTGAGAAATACAAAAAAAAACTACATGAAAATTGGATAAACGGTTCAAAAGTTATGCAAGTTTTTTGTTGTGAATTTGGGCATTTTTCGGGGATAATTAATTACTTACGTATATAAATAGACAAGAGGATGGCACCAAAATGTGCGAAATGAGGCATGAGAAAGACAACTTAGCAACAGTTTTCCTTAGTTCAAAGAAAAAGTTGCCTGTAAAACATATGATAATCATACATTTCCAGAAAGGTTATGCAATTGCCTACATGATAAACGATGTATTACGTAATGTGCAAAGTCATGTGACCAAATATGGCCGCCAATATGGCCGCCATTGACGAAACGAGCAACTGATTTTGACTTAAAAGTGACATAACATTAATGTTTTAAGTCAAAAGTGTACAAAAGTATATATTTTCTTGATCAGCACGACTAGGCCCATCTAACGAACTATAAAACAAGCAACAATAAATCCATTTTATTTTTTTTAAAATCACATTTCACCCCGAAAAAATGATTGTAGTTGGGCACGGAAAACACGAACACTGAAAACTGAAAATCATGAATAGCTCGTACAAATTGCCATTCCCTGATTGATATCTCTTCAATACTTCATCACCTTTAGCCCTTAACCCGAATTATGGATGTGTTGAAGACGTTTGTCATCCCTCGATGTATTTAAATTATTCGTGCCTGACTTATTTGATTTTGAATCTAATTCCCAAATGCCAACAGTCTTGAGCAAAAGTATACATTCTTTACATCGGCAAAAAGTGAGGCATCCAATGAAAGAGCATACAACCAAAG